GAGATAGAGGTGGATTAAACAGGGGTAGAGTTGATGAGAAATTATTTAAAGCAGTGTGTATTTTGAAGGTAGAGCTATGAAGATTAAGTGATCCATTTGGGTGGGAAAAAGTGTCAGGAGGACCCCAGTGTTATTGGCCTGATTGAGTGGAGATCCATTCATCAAGATGGGGAAGATTGAGGGGCAGCAGGTATGGAAAAGAAAAAACAAGTTCAGTTTTAAACATGCTGCTGTTCAGATATTTAGCTATCGAGTAGAAAGACACATGGGTCTAGAAGTCAAGAAAGACACCTGGGGCAGGCACAGTGGGTGCACACCGGTTCCAGCAGCTCAGGAGGCTGAGGCAGGAGGACCATGAGTTCGAAGTCAGCATCAACAATGGCGAGGCACTAAACTCACTGAGACCCTGTCTCTAAATAAAATTCAAAATAGGACTGGGGATGTGGCTCAGTGGTTGAGTGCCCCTGAGTTCAATCCCTGGTACCAAAGAATGAAAGAAAGAGAGACCCCCAGGCTGAAGTATAAACATGGGAGCTGTCAGAGTAAAAATCATACTTAAAGCCATGATACTGGGTGGAATCTAAGTGAGCTAAACATAGAGAAATGGAAAGGCCCAAGGGCTAAGGTCTAGGACATTCCTCTGTTTAGAATCTGGGAAGATGAAAAGGAAAAAATGAATGGTGAGAAAAATAGGAGCAAAGTCAAGCAAGGGTGGAATCCCGGAGGCTGGTTGAAAGGATGGAGGGGGTCAATGGCACCCAATGCTGCTGGTTTGAGAAGTAAGAGGAGGGCTGAGAATTGGCCACTGCCTTGAGTTGAGGTCTCTAGCTGTGTGAAGGCTAGCGGAGTGTCTGGGGGTGAGCCTGAGTGAAGAGGGCTCCAGGGAGATGAGGAAGAGATAGTGTGGACCGCTCTTCCTAGGGATTTGGCTAAAGATGGAAAGGGGCAGTGCTTGGGGTAGAAAGTGCTGTCAGGAGAGGAATTTTTATTTTATCTCTGTCATTATTGCCATTTTATTTTGTTTGAATGTGGGAGATGTAATAGCAGTGTTTTTTGCTCGCAGGATTAATCCTGAAGAGAGGTGAAAACAGATAATGCAATGGGGACAGAGGTGTGTGTGTATTGGGAATGGGATCTAGAACCAAAGCAGGGGTGAACCCGAGCTACGAACAGAAAGCACCAGTCCTTAGGAGTGGGAGAGCTGTTGAAGTCCACATGCACAGAGGCTGGTAAGTGGGTACGCTTGGTGGAGAGAGGCCTAGAAGTTCTTTTCAGAGAGCTTCCCTGGTCTGGGTGGAATAAGGGACAAGGTCTATCGATCAGTGTGCAATTTTGAACAGGAAATATTCTCAAGCAAAAAGAAGTTTAATGGAAGGAATTTGTTGCACTTTGTTGGAAGAGCTAAAGAAGCCAATGGAAAGAAGAGGTGTCACCTGTACGGGGACCACTGATTTGCTGGTGGAGCTGCTGCTATAATGAACAGGAACCATCCCCTCTGTAGGTGCTGGAAATGCTGATGGGGCCTCTAGTTGTGTGCAGGTAGCTTCCCTTGCCAGGGCCAGAATCAAAATGGTGCCTCGCTTTTCCTGCTTTCTAATCTGCATCTGTGCCTCCCATTGGTGACATCCCACTGGAAAGCCACTGGCCACAGTCTGGAAAAATCTAGTTTTGAGACTTCCTGCCACCTGCAGCAAAAAGAAGGATATTGGAGGGACTGCAATGGAGTCAAGGACACAAGCCACCCAAGGTCATGATCTGAGAATGAGGATGGGGATGGATATTGGAGATTTAAGACCAAAAGGCACCTGGTAATTTTCTGGCAGAGTGAGCATATGATTGTTTGGACTTGAGGAATACGGAACAACTGCCTGTGACTTTTAATGTCACCCTAGAATTAAGAGGATATGAGTTTAAAGTTAGGACATTCAGCATGACTCTGATCCAGTCACCAAGTAGGCAGAAATGTGGGGTTAATCAAGAGAGTTCACTGAAGCAAGAACAGGGCAAGGAAGTTGCAGATATTTGGGGGATTATGATATAATAATATGCATAATGTACAATAATTGACCATGGAATCTAAACTGGGTAAAGAAGGAAGTGAAAATGGAGAGTAGGGGTAGCTATCCCATGTTTATATAGTAAGTTCTTCTCTCCTCCACAAATTCAAGAACAAAAATATATCTAATCCACTACTGTATTCATAACACCTAGACTTCTACCCAGAACTAAGAAACCAACAGATATTAATATTTGTTAAAATGAAATGAACTGGGGACTGGGGTTGTGGCTCAGTGGTAGAATACTCGCCTAGCACATGCAAGGCCCTGGGTTCAATTCTCAGCACCACACACAAATAAATAAATAAAATAAAGATATTGGGTCCAACTACAATTGAAAGATAATTTTTTTTTAAAAAAATGAAACAGGATCAATTAGAAAGGGAAAAAGAAAGAAAGGAAGGAAAGCCAGAAAGCAAAAGCAAATTTTATGTCACTACAGACAGAGGGTAGGGCAGGCCGTGTGGGACCTAGAAGACTCCAGCCAGAAGGGAAAGAAAAGAAACTAAAGCCTGGTTGTAATTATTTTTTAGTCAATAAAATTCAAAGTTCAAGTTCAATATGAGCAGCTGTTACAATTCCCAATATCAGTTAGAGGAACCAACGGGAATAGGGTTGCATCAGAACAGGCTGGAGCCTTCTAGGTGCCGAGGAGACAGCATTGACGCCAGGGCAAAATGAATGAAGTCTGACCCAAAGTCTAGGCTCAAGGTTAGAAACGGATTGTGGATAGGCGAAACAAATAAACAAAAACCCACTTTCTCTCCCACCAACCCCACCAACTCCAAACCTACACCCAGCCCCAGGGGAACCTGAATGGGCTGAAAGGTGAGGAAGAGCCAGATTGGAGCTTCAAGCAAGGACTTATTCCTGGGAGGGTCTAGGCCTGGACAAAATCACAAAATCATGAAGTCGATAATGTTGTTTCAAGAATTTTTTTTTTTTTGGTACTGGGGATTGAACAGGGGCACTCAACCACTGAGCCACATCCCCAGCCCTATTTTGAATTTTACTTAGAGACAGGGTCTCACTGAGTTGCTTAGCGCCTTGCCATTGTTGAGAGTGGCTTTGAACTCCTGATCCTTCAGTCTCAGCCTCCCAAGCCACTGGGATTATAGGCATGTGCCACCTCACCCAGCTTAAGAACTCTTAAATCTTGGTTTTTGGCTCCCACCAAAGTCTTAAATCTGCCTTCCTTAATGTGAAGTTAAGTTTGTTAATATTTCCTCACATCTCCTTCAAAGTTGCTTACCTCTGGAATGGATTGCAAACTCATGCTGATTTAAACATCTAATTTCCCCAAGTTAACAGGAAGCTTTTTGGGGAATAGACTGTCTTATTTATCTTTAAGATCTCTACAACACCCAGGTCCTACTTAGTAGAAGATGCTCAAGGATTCCTTGTTCAAGGAATGAGTGAATTAATAAGTAGAACACTATAAGGTACTATTCCTTACATGGACCAAATCCAGACTCTGATAGCCAATGTGTCAAATAATTTATTCCTTCATTAGGGAAATGCAAAACAAAGCCACAATGAAATATCATCTCATTGGAGCTTCATACCTACTAAGATGGCTATAATTAAATATATATATATATATATATATATATATATATATATATATATATATATATATATATATTACAAGTGTTGCTGAGGATATGAGAAATTGTGACCTTTTTACATTGCTGATGGAAATGTAACACTGTTCATCAGCTATATAAACAGTTTGGTGGTTTCTCAAAAACTAAAAATAAAATTACTCCATGACCCATCAATTCCACTCCTACTTAAATATCCCCAAATACTTGAAAGCAAGTGCCTTAACAAATTCATGTACAAACATGTTCATAGCCACAAGATTCACGATGGCAAAAAGGCAGAAACCACCACACTGTCCATCAAGACATGGATGTGTAAACACCATGTGATCTGTACATACAGAGGAACATAGCTGTAAAAAGAAAGGGAATATTGGTGGATGCCACATATGGGTGAACCTTGAAAATATTCTATGTGAGTGAATCTAGACAGAAAAGGATGCATATTGTACAATTTCATTTGTCTGAAATATCCAGGTAAATATCAGGTAAATCCTTCCAGACAGAAGGCAGATTGGCAATTGCTAGAGGGTGAGGGAAGGGGAATAAGAGATTACTGTTTAATGGACATGAGGTTTCTTCTTGAAGTGATAAAAATGCTTTGAAAGTAGGTACAAGAAGTGGTTGCATAATTCTGTGACTATGCTAAGTATCAGTGAATTCTACATTTCAAAATAAATCTTTTTATGTTGTGTGAATTTAATAAAATAAAACCAACCATCCTTTGCTGCACAGTAAAGTATCCAAAACATTTACACAATTGACATGTAGTGCATTACACAGACCAGAATCCAAGGGGGCCCATCTGGATGGTTCTAGCTAAGGTCTCTTCTGAGGTTTTAGTCAAAATGTTGTCCAGGGCTGCAGTCACCTGTAGCAAGACTAGGGCTGGAAGATCCACTTCCAAGGTGGCTCCTCACATGGCTATGGACGGCAAGCCTCCGTTTCCTACTACATAAACTTCTCTCTAAGGCTATTGAGTGTCTCCCAACATGGCAGCTGGCTCCTCCACTGTGGGTCATCCATGAGAGTACAAAGCAGAAGCCACATTGTCTTTTATAAACTAACCTAGAAAGTTCTGCACTGTTATTTCCACAATATCCCACTGGTTGCACAGGTCAACCCTCTTCATTATTTGGGGTGGGGGGAACCTATACAAAGACGTAAATACTAGGAAGGAAGTATCATTGAGAATCAGCTGGAAGGCTAATTACCACACACACTCTTCTCTAGTGTATAAGGAATAGGAATGAATTAATGACTCAGCACTCAGTCTGAACTTGATGTCCAAAAGGGAGAGCAGAAGGCAGCTCTGGAAACACATGATGGAAAGCTTCAGAAGCATTGCCCTTGAACAGCATGTATGTGGGAACTGTATAGGTCACACCTGGTGATGTACAAGTTGCTTCATACTTGTGTTATCATGAAAAACTGTACCTTGCAATGACTTTCTGGGAACCAAAATCTTCTCACAGGCAAGATTTCTTCAGGTCACTCAAGCATTGACCCCTGATATAATAAGAAACTAACTCACAATAGCATAATAGGGATGTTGTAAGGGGCATAGGGAATGGTATCTTGCCCCTCCTTCATCTCCCAATTTCCTTTCATAGGTTATTAGAGGTCAGCATTCAGCTTTCCTAACAGTTCCTAGGCACGTCCTATTGCCCAAGCCTTTGGTCACTTCCTCCTTTGCTAGAGTGACAATTTTCAGAAGCCAAAATGTATTCCTACAAGATGACGGGCAAAGTTGTGTCATCTCATGAGTTAGATCTTCCAGGAACCTGCCCAAATCAGATTGCTGTTTGGCATATGCCTGAAAGTAAGCCAGATCAATAAAGTAACCCAAATCTTGACTTGGAGGTAACGACTTGGATGTATTCATGGAGGCCAGCGATCCAAATACTGGTGGGCTCTCATTAAAGAGGAAAAATGATCAGGTTATTTAAAGTTTTTACTTGAATAACAAGTTTAGTAATATGGGAATTAAGCTGTATAAAAGACAATGTCTTTGCCTAAGAAGATGGAGTGACCTAGGGATACTGGCTTTCATTTACCCAGGATTGCCTTCAGAAATAAATGGGGTAAACCAAGCAATGTGAGGTTTTGTGGACCTGGAGATAAGTACCTCAGGGTACAGCAAGACAATGTTTGCTAAACAATTGTGCCTGCTCAGAGGTGGCTGCTTTAGAGAAAATACTAGGGCCTGAGATCCAACAAGGGAAGGTCTAAAGAAATGACAGAGGGGACATCCAGGAAAATAGAGCCAGAAAGGGAAGAGTTAGCAGGAGCACAGTGGGGTCAGGGCAGCTGGTGGCCTGGAAGGCGGGGATCCCAGGTTTCTGAATGTATATAGGAATGAAGGAGGCACAGGGGCCTGAGAGGGGACATCAGAAAAGTAGAGGAAGTAAGCAGAGATGGACATAATCATGGACATAACCAATGGACATAATCATGACTGAACACAGGAATGTAAAACAAGTGGCATCTGCATGAAAAGGGCCAGATAGAGTATGGTTCACAATCTGTAGATTAAACACAATGCAATAGAACAAGACACTGTTGGTGACCATAATGATATGACTGGAATATTGATTTACATTTTGCATTTGCTTAAGAATTAGGGAAGCAATACAGTAGATAGCACATGGGTGAATCTTGACTAATTAAAAAAAAAAATCCTGAGTTTTGATTCCCCACTGAGTTCTGCCAACGTGAAAAGACTAGTTAAATATCAGTGCAGTTTCAGGGATGAATGTAGAAGTCTGTGTTTTGGAATGAGACAAGAAAGTGAGGATGAGGAAGTTTCTGGTTTTACAACAGGCAATAGGTACATTAAGGAGAAAAATCAAAGCAGAGTTAGCAAACAGAAAGCAGGACAAGGAATCCGGGCAAAGGAGCTTTGCTCTTGCCAAAGTTTCCAGGATATAAGATAAAAGGCAATCAGCTTTGCAGATGTCTGGCTTTCGTTTTCTTTTGTCTTCATCTCCTAACTTCAAATCTAGGGACAAAAATATTAATTATGTCTCTCTGCTAGCCCTATAATTGGAGCTTGTAAAGAGGGCCATTTTTCTTGTTGAACATGCTATTCTGTTCAGACTTTAGTTATTTTCCTCATTCACGTTGGCATGAAATACCTGATTCCATTATTTGCTATTAAATTCAACAAATATTTACTGCACACTGGTTATTTGCCAGATACTGCTAAGTACTCCAGGAGGTATAAAGATGAATAATATATCAGTACTATAACCCATTCATTCGTTCATTTAACATATGTAACTTTCAGTACCTCCTCTGCGTGGGGTACCAAGAACAGCAGAGAACAAAACAGAATCTCTAACCTCATGGAGTTTACAGCCAAGTGGCATCAATGTGAAATTTGAAGACCTGGTCACACAACTATATGAATAGGTATAACACCACAAAAATGTAAATAGAAAAAGTAGAGTACAAGAAGAGAACTAAAATGTTTCCAAAGAAGAGAGCACATTTGGCTGTGAATGAAGTAAGGATGAGGGAAAGGGGCTGTTGTTCAAATTTAGCTTAAGAAGAAAGAAGGGAAAGAAGTAGAATAGGGAGCCTCCAGGAATGGACCTAGGCATGGAGTTAGGAAAGCATGGGCTATGTATGTGGGAAAGTGAAGAGGAAGATTTGGTCAGCATCTGGAATAGGTTGCAAAGAAGTAGAAGGCAGGGAGGCAAAGGTTAATGGCAACCGAGTCATGAAAATGTTTGCAGGACTTTTGAGAATTTAAGTGGTGGGATTGGAAGAATTTAAGAATGGATTGGAAGACAGAGGAGAGTATGCAGTGGGGAAATGGGGGTGCTTTCTAAACTTTCTTTGAGCCAAAACTCATTCCTCAGTGAGATTCCATGGTTTGACTTTATTGGTGAAATATTCCTCTTTGCATGGTACATGACTATTGGTCTTTGCAGAACTGAATGCAGATTTCAATATGCAATCGAATCATTATTTATTAGCAAACTTACATGTCAGTACTCTAATAAGTACTCAGATATCATTATAATAATAATAATTGCATTTAAGAATAACTTCCTTGACATAAGGCATTTGATTGTGGAGCTATCCCAACACTATGCCATTACTCAAAAGACGACAAGGGTGACCCTAGAGGCTGATCCTACTGGAGGACATTTGAAGAGAGGAATTAAATGACTGCCCTCCAGTTAACAACAGATGTCAAATAGTAGGGACCTCAGAGGTGATGGGTTGTCCATCATAGCTTTTTAATTCCTTGAGGTCTTATCTCTCTATCTTCCTTCCTTTTGGAACTCTATTCTCTTTTTGTTTGGATTGCCTCCATTTCAGATCTTTCCAGGACTGGAGGCTCATTTGGAACCACCTGCTGGTTCTCTCACTATGATACAGCTTCCTTTAACTCTGGATCCTTCACTCCTTACACCTGAACTTAGGGCAAGGGGCATGGTGCTTGGCTGTCTGCAACTTGAATGACTTGGTTTCTTTCCATTTGCATCAAGAGAGACTCCAACAAAATTAGTTGCTCAACATAGTTTCTGGAAAAACAGAAAACTATATATAGGGACATAAAAACAGAACATTTGTTCCACCAGGATCCTTGCTCTTTTAATCTACGTTCTGAAGCTAACAAACTCCAAAAGGCCGTACATTTGGTGGGGGGACTGCCCATAATTAGAAACTTCAAGGTCCAGAAACTCAAGTTCAAATTTTAGCTCTGCAATGATAGATCTGATTAATGCAGAGTTGGAAACTGAACTTAGTTCATGTACACTTGTTAATCTATTGACTGCATACATATCCTCATCTGTAAAAATGGATTATCATTTACTATTCCTCCTAACCCATAGAGTTGTAATAAGGAGCAAATAAAATCATGACTGTGAAGTTGATTTATAAGAAGTTGTAAGGTAATTCATACATGCTTTTGTTTTTCTAAGAATCACCATTCTTCCTGATTCCTACAAAGTTTTCATTAGCGAATCCACATGACATTTCATGATCCCTTCTTCCTTAGAAATTTGATGGCTCTATTAAGCTTCTCACAAACTCCCTGGGCTAAAATAAAAATGGTTTAACTTTTATTTCTCCCTTATTGTCATTACCTATTTAGAGACAAAGCATAACACTTTTTGTTAGTCTCTAAAAGTTATCCTTTTGATCCATTTTACTTACTTAGTCAATAATGACTGAATATATCATTTGTACATTTTTTAAGGTACTGAGAGCAATGGAGATATGAGTAGGATATTATCTGAGCCCTGGATGACCATGTCCATCTATTCAAAGTACCCATGGCCAGCTGCATTAAGTAAGGACTGAGCTGCCTATCTTTCCTCTTGGATCACTCCAGTGCCAGCCTCACCTAATTAGCTCTTCTTTTCTCAAAAAAAAAAAAAAATATCTGTTTAGTTCTCACCTTAAGGTATTTGATCCAGGTCACTGGGCCACCACATCAGAACTTAAGGAAAATGAAGACAATGTGTGAAAAGTCCTAAATTGGTGCTTAACTTGTTACATGAAGGTCATGGTTCCTCATGTATCAAGGGTTCTGGGCTGGACAAAGTGTTCTTTATGGAAAAAAACACCCTGAAGTGAAAGCTGGGAGGAGAGAGTCATATAATGAGAACAAAATTTCAGAATATTAGGAAAGTCAACCAGAGGCGGATGTTTGAAGAGGTGAACTTAGGTCAGCTTGTTGGGTGGGCAGAGGGCAGTGCAAAACCATGTGCTTTGGGGTTTGGATGAAGAGCTGGACCAGATTGATTTTCAACCAGTTTAATCTTAATTGAACTCAGTCTGCCTCTTTGGGCTTCATAAGGTTTCTCCCAACCACCCTGTTATTAAACATAATAATTAAAAAAAAAACTTCAGAAATTGACAAGTAGAAACAGTGAGCTCATTGATTGTGTATCTGGGTCATTTTGTGCAGGTCTACTGTTTGTAATCCTTACCTTAGCAGTTAAGGTCATGGATATGCCAGCCCACAAGGCCTCCTTCATTTCCTATGTTTGCCTTGGAATGGGTGGTGGTATCAGGAAGAAAGGAAAATACTTAGATGAACTCAAAGAAAAGTGATAAGTGTAATTACATAAACTTTCTCTCTCTCCCAAGTGGTATTTGGATCATGGTTAGCTACTCCCACATGCCCTTATCATGGCAATAGTTGCAAAGTCTAGGGCTATATAAACCAGATTTAGAAATAAGTGGGACGTACAAAATCCTATTATGAAAGCAGTTGCACAAAGTCTGAGAGAGAGAGAGAGAGAGACAACATGAAACACCTTGTAAGTACATTTTCTAATTTTAAATAAGGTAGTTTTACCCTCAGAATATAAAATAGCTAGGGAGAAGATCTTTTCTACCCTACTGGACTCTTCCAAATAAATCCAAATAGAATTTTCAAATCTTATTTTGGCACATACCATTCTGGTTTATTGTTTTGTTTGTTTTGTTTTGTTTTTTGTACTGAGGATTGAACCTAGGGGTGCTTAACCACTGAGCCACATCCCCAGCCCATATGTAGAGAGAGGCAGAGTCTTGCTCAGTTGCTAAGTGCCTCTCTAAGTTGCTGAGGCTGGCTTTGAACTTTTGATCCTCCTGCCACAGCCTCCTGAACCGCTGGGATTACAGGCATGCACCACTGGGCTTGGCTACCATTCTGTTTTTTAGTATCTGAAAGAAGAGTCTTCACCAAGGAAACTAATAACCAATTTCTTAAGTTTCAGGACTCTTTTCAGCATTGGGTAGGTGCATATTTTAAGGTCCTGTCTTCCTGGGTTTATCTTATTTACAAATTGCCAGTACAGGAAATCTTCAAATGTATATTACATATGGCATCAGTAATTTTGTCATCTGCATCTCCATTATCTCCTTGACTGACCTCACCACACTATGATTACTGTTCGTTGATTAGCTATTTACTTCTTCTTCAAAGACATATCTCACCTTTTACTGTAGGAATTGCCCCTGGAGTGTTTCATGGGCTGTCATGGGGATGGGGGAGAGGGGGAGTGCCTGTCAATTCCAGCTGGTGTGGAAGTGCACTTGAGCCAAGTGAGTCTGAATACATCAGATAATGAGCTGTGGAATATAGGGAAGGGTTTATTGCTGCATTTTCTCCCTAGCCTGTTGCCACCCCCAACTAATTCTCTTTCACTTCTTCTCTGATGCTTGAAATTCCTGTGTGGCAAGGCAGACCACACAGAAAGGAAATGATTAGCAACCAGTATTTTAAGAACTGGTCACATTTGAATACAATCTATCCAAAATAAGGTAAAAAAAAAAAAAAAACCCTAGTGATTGGTCTTTTATTTTTAAGCAAGCTAAGAGAATCCAGAGGAAAGGAAATCAATAGGATATCTATCTGTTTCTAAGTGGGTGCATAGGGCAAGGCAGGACCAACAATGTGATTTGGGGTTTGGATAACAATCTAGACCAGTGGCTGGAAGTAGAGAAGAAGGTGCAGCTAAAGGAGACGGAGGCCTGGAATTGTGACTACTATTACATTTGGCCTAGGATGGCCCTACCCTGTGTGCAGATTGTTAGGCAATCTGACAGACCCTGTGTGCAGGTCTGTCAGATTGCCTAATATTCATCCCAATGATTGATTGCAGAAGCAAACCAGTAAGTGTTTTTGAGTGAATGATAAAGCTTTGCCTCCTGAGAAGCCAGAATACCCCATTCAACCATATTGAACTAGTCTCCTGATACACACTGGAGCCCTGTGGGCATGAGAGACAGTGGAAATTATAAATCATTTTAAGGAGGCTCTGACCCCAGCAGTGCCTTAGACTGTGGACTGTCATCTGAAGTTAAAGAAAAAGTGCATTGATATTTGTTCCCATTTCAGACTGCATCTTCCATACTCGTGGTCTTCTTCCTAACTCCATCTCTGGCCCTAAGGGTAAGTAGCGTGAAGAGAGTCCCATCTGTCTAGTCCCCTTTGGGCAGAAATATTTCCAAGGTGATAATCAGAGTGACATCCCTCAAATTTCATATGGGTAACCCTTAAACTTACAGAATACTGTGGGTTTTTTACTCTTCTCACTGTTGCTTGGTTTTCTCTAGAACATCAGTGACAGCCATCCTCTGGATGGATCTGTTGGGACCCAACTCATCCATATCAACGCCTTCCGAGGTATGGTCAGCATCCGAGACAACAATGTTTTGAGTCAATGGGATGGAATCCTGGACTACAAGAATGTAAGATGTGAAACGCATTCATTACAATGCCACAGGAAGTTTTGTCTGGTCCCAAATGTAGCTCAATGCTTTTCCAGAGAGAAGAGGACACTGTCTTCATTTGCCTTCTCCAGGTTTAGGTCCTCAATAGAAATGCATGCCTTTAGGTAAGGGACCAGCTTTACTGAAGGTGCAGTGACTTCTTTATGAGCCAGAGAATGTAGGAGACTCTGGTCTATAGGGTTCCTGCATCCCTTTGGGTTTTTGTGAGTTGTTGACTTTATGTGGCTGCCCAAATCCTAAGAAGGCCACATAAAGAGCCCTCGTGTCTTGTAACTGAGATATGCTACAAAAGTTATTTGTCTTGACTCCAGATTTTAATGTCTATTTCTAAAGAAGAGCAATGTATTTCTTTCTTTCTTTTTTTTTTTTTTTTAAATCTGCCTGCACCTTGCCATCTCTTTGAGTACCAAGAGCTAGCAGAAAGAGGCAAGATCAGGGAGGGAGCACCCATGTCCTTGGGTTTGCTCTCTTACAGAAAAGCACCTTCATCTCGGGAATCTCACTCTGCCTTGTGGGCCTTAGTTGCCATATCTGCAAAACAGCTTCAACAACAGCCTTGCCACCCTGGCAGGGCTTTGAAGTAAAAGCTCACACTCTTCATGCCCTCTGCCATCCAGGCCTTCCCCCACCCACCTCTGTCACGTTCTCTCCAGCCACTCTGGACAGTTCAGGATGGAGCCCTCACCCCAGGCGTCCCCTCTACTCTCACCCGTCCCCACCATGTTCTCTTTCCTGACACTTCCTCCACTCTTCACCTAGCCCATTCCTGATTCCTTCTAGGAGACCTCTCTGGAATCCTCTTAGAGGGCATACAGTCTAGTGATCACCATCACTACTGCAAGCCATGGAAACTTTTCTTCAATAAAATATTCCAGCTGCACACTCTACGGAGCACAGGAAGTCAACACCATTGCTGGAGAGGATTCACCGTGGGCCTTAGTCAGATACAGCTGCAAGAGTCTGCATCTCTAATCCATGCCTAGAGAGACCAAATGGCAGGCCCAGCACCATACAAAAGCGGGTACCCAGGGCAGGCCTGGTGCTAGATTCTAAGTCTATTGGTCTCAATCTAGAACTCCTAACAGCCCTGTACATTCAGCAAGTACTCAGTAAACAATGCTCTCACAAGCAGCTACATCTCATTTCACCCTGTCATCTCCATGACAACACTGTAGGAATGGAGTCATTATTTCTGCTTTATGGATGAAGAAATTGATAAGCAGGGAGGCCACTGAGTACCCTGATGACTGCTGAGTGGCAGAATAGGACCTTCAAGTGAATCGTTTTACTAGAGCTAACTCCCTGTGCTTCTGGGCCCACCTGTCTCTTAGTGGCTGCAGAGTGCCCCAGGGGATTCCTGGGGAGTGAACCCTCTCTAGCAAAAATAGCAGGGGACAGTGCCACTGGGCCTGGAGAGCAGCAGGGCTTAGTATGCATTGCTACTGGTCCTGGTGCTAACCTTTGCTCCCCTGTTCAGATCAGCACGCTGCTGGTGTGTTCTACACTACAGTCAGAACAGCTGGATGTCAGTCCCTGCAGAGAGTGGGTGCCTATCACTATTGTGACTGAATGAATAACATGTTTCTTCTGTGTTGCTTAAAGGCCCTCTTTGTGGCTAAGCTGTTTAGCATGATGGCCTGTGTCCTTGCCAAGATGGACCAAGCAATCTTCCCAAGTTTGGATGACATTAGCATGGCCCTACGCAGGCAGGTAAGTGTGACCAGGTCACTCTGGTCCCCTCCTACCCTGGTGTTTTCCAACTTACCTCTAGTCTCCTAGGACAATTCTATGCACAAGGAGTGACTTAGTTCATGCTTGCTCTTAATGCCCATGAAATTACAACATTATACAAATGGCCTCTTCAAGTCAAATTATAACTGAATCAACGAAAATTTCTTGCAGTGACCACCTTTCGATGTTTGTATTCATCAAAGGGTTCATGCTACATGCTAGTGAATGTGAGTTGTTGACTGTAAATATCAGAGTGACTTATATAATATTATATGAATATAATATTCATATATTATATGAATATATATGAATATTATATTATATTAAGGAATTATATGAATATTATATTATATTAAGGAATTCCTTGAGAATTTTGTCTTTCCCTTCCCACCACCAAACAATACACAAGTATTAACTTTAAATGAAAATGAGCCCAAGACTGCCGAATCTGTCTTCCTTAACCTCTTAAATGACAAGAATTGTTAAGATAAGTTAAAAATCAGCAGGAAGTCCTTTGCAATTCTTTTAAATCTACTCATTTGCTAAGAAAACTGAAGAGCACATTTTGGAACACTGGCAGGAAAGGTTCCTGACTTTGGGGAAAAAAATAAAAATAGACTTCATGTCACATAGAAATAAAGCAACTTATATTCTTAGGGAAGTCTAAAATATCCCATTGATTGAATTAACAAGAAAAAACATGTAAATGCAACAAATAATTTTTATCTACTCTATATTATCATCAGAGATGAGAAAGCATTAGAGAGTGAAAGGAAGTCACCAGGTCACTCAAACCTACAAATTTTTCTAGAGTAATGTTGCCTCCTTGTGGCTATATGTGATATTGCTGTCTGAGACTGAACTCTAGGGCAGGTTGGGTTCACAGCCTAGTTCTGTGCATTGAATCAAATACATCCTGTTGCCACTCACCTGAGGATCAGGGTCCCAGGATTTCATTTCTTCCTCCTTCTTGTGCCACATCTATATGCTGTCTCACCATTTTAACATGCTACTTCTTCCAGGATTCCAGTCATTACCCATCCACCCACGGCCTGACCTATACTGTTTCACCTAGCCGGATCAAGAATTTAGCTCAGTATGGAATTCTCATCAAGGACCTGTGCAGAGATGTCCCCACCTACTTTGCTCATCAACAGAAAGAAGGTGTGTTAACAAACCCAAGACCTTGGGTGAGTCAAAAGGTGCAGTATGGTGTTTAGGTCATTGGCATAATTTAGTGATAGTTGATTCCATTTCTTTGTGAGTGGTATAAAAATCACATGGCCCAGGATGTATTGCCCCTGCTGGCAGAGATGATTTCTTGACACTAGGAATCACTGAGAATGGGGAGCAGAGTTAGCTTCATCAGAAGGTCAAGGTCAGCTATCTCATCAAAGGGATTTGACAGTTGATGGATGTCCTCTCCTGACTCAAGGCTACATCATGCCCAAGCATCATGGAGTCTGTTGTGAGTTAGAGTCCCATTTGGGGTTCTCACTTCTTGTTCTCAAGAAGGCTGGAGAGGTAAGACCCAAATAGTTACAGACCACACTGGGAAAGGAACAATGCAGTGGTTGGCACCCCTTTGGGGGATGTGACCTCAGCTTGAAAAGCTACCAGATAAGATTCCATGATCTTCGCCCTAGTCTGTATATGACCAGGACACTTGTTCCTTTAGGCTATTGCCAGTCATTTATACCTTAGTATAAGTTTACCAATGAAAAAGGATTCAGGAGAACTTGAGGGAGGGGCTAGAGGATTAAGGAGGATAGTTATGGGTCAGTAAAACAAATAGAGAGGTAGAGGCACTTATTGTCCTTGGGAGTGGAGAAGGTAGAACCTTCCATTTCCAAGGTTCCACATCCCTGCTGAGCACCAGGTGCAGCTCATAATATATCCATTTTACCTTGAGGCCATTCTACCTGGTAAAATGCTTCTCTTTCTTTTTAAAGGTACTGCCCTGGCAGTCGACCCTAATTCCTGTTTTGCAATCCAGCTTCTATCTTTTATGGGACTCTCCATCTGTGGTGAGATTCCTGGACTCTGAACCTCCAGGTCAGCTGCATGAAGAGTGGACCCACTTGGCCTGGGCCGCTGGCCTGGGGCAGGTACCTGGCCCAGCCTCTGCCTCTGTGAAGCTGCTCATTTCAGATCTCCATCTTCTTTCTTTCAATCCAATACCCCATTCTGAAGTCTGGGAAAATGGATAGACCCTCTTCCTCTGGATTAGAACAATAAAGCTTCTTTCATTACTGATCTAGCAGATGAGCCCTACCTGTCGGCACTGTCCTCTCAACATTGCCAGCCAAGTACAACCTAGAAAATCACACATAGGCATGCTGCAAAGGAGGAGCTCCCTCTCTTGGGATGTATCTCCTTTCTCCTCCTCCTCCTCCTCCTCCTCCTCCTCCTCCTCCTCCTCCTCCTCCTTTTTTTTGGTACTGGGGATTGAACCCAGGTGTACTTAACCATATCCCCAGCCTTTTAAAAAGTATTTTTTTATTTTGGGACAGGGCCTTGCTAAGTTTTTGAGGCTGACTTTGAACTCATGATCCTCCTACCTCAGCCTCCTGAATTTATGGGATTACAGGTGTACATTACCACATGTGGCAGGATGTCTCATTTCTAAACATCTCTCTGGGATATTCCTTGAGGAATTCCTTGAGAATTTTGGCAATAAACAAAGAAATAAAGACAATAGCCATAGAATAAACTCAATGTCGGGTCTGCAGTCTTCTGAAAATTGGAGTTAAGATTCCAGGGAATCCCGTTTCCTGTAGTGGCCCAGCCTGCACCATAATAATCTCTGAAAGTGAGCAAGCAAGCCCCTCTTGGGAACTGGTCTGAACCCTTCAGTGATGACCCCCAGGTAGTCCATTGCAAATTAATAAGGGACCTGGATCCTTAGTGCTCATTCCTTAACTGTGCCCCTTTATGGGGAAAGTCTCCTCATCATAGTAATTAATTTGGGTCACCCCAAATGATGTCACCTCTAACTTTCCCCTCCATTCCTGCTTCTCAGCAGCTTCTGGGATGAGCCAACTGACTCCAAACTCAGGTCTGAATATGAGTGGGCTCGCTTGCCTGCCCCAGGCTGTTGCTGCCCAGTGTTCATTATCTGCCCACTCAAAGTTTCCCAAGGGATCAGGAGCCACTAGTGCCCAGATCCTGCCTGGAACATGCTGCTGGTCCTCCTACTGCATGCCTGCGCTGGAGACTCCCCATAGCTCAGCCTACATAGTGTCCACGGCTACTCCCATGAGGCCTTTCACCAGGCCATGAGTGCAGGCAGACCCCTGAAGAGCTGCAGCTGTCCATGTGCCCATAGCCTCGTGGGCCCTGAAGAAGGACCACAATGAGGAGCCCTCAGGCCTGGCTCTGAGCACTTGAGACTGGAGCTCAAGACTTCCAAGACTGTTGAGGGCTACGGAAATCACCACCCTGTGTGTTTCCTGAGAATGCTGTAGAGGGGTGGGCCTTCTTTGTTCAGTTGTGTTTTAAATGTTAAAAATACATCAACATTTTTATTGAGGTAAAAAATACAATGAAGAGCAGATTGAAAAGCGCAGCTCAATGAATTGTACATATGTACCCCCATGTAGCCGTCACGCAGATGAATCTGTAGAACTTTCCCAACACTCCAGAAAGTTTCTTCATGCAATATCCTGCCCACATCCCGTCAGGCACAAGGGCATGGAGAGGGGCAGCAGGTGACTGTGCTGGAGAACTCTCAGCAGCACTCAAACACAGCTTGCAGGACTCTTAAGGTGTGGTCCACTTCAGACTGGAGGGGGCTGGTGAGCACCTCAGATTCTCCCTATTCTAGTCATTAATTTGAGGCAAACAGAAAAGTGAAGCTTCCCAAGGTCATGAACAAGGCCATTGGCCAGGCATTGCATGCCTAACACCATGTCCTACAATATGCAAAGCTACCTTTCCCAAAGAAAGCTAAGGGATGGGCTACCCCATAAATGGGAATTGTGAGGGGCAGATTCTTGGCTCGTCCCTTCCCAAGGTCATATGCTACAACATGAATGGGAGGAACCACATGTGTTTCCCTCTTGAGGCCCAGAGAGGTTCTATGGTGTGAACATCTGGTGAGTTGACAGAGTTGATATCTACTTTTCTCAGCCCTTAAGAAGGAGCTGATTACAAGAAAATATAATGAAGTCCCAACCTCCTGGCAGTGGTCCATTGAACCCATTCCCGGTAGGCATGTGCCTAGTATGTTCTACCAGCTGCTTGTCAGTTATTCAGTGAGTCAACAGTGTGGAGTAGAATCAACTGATTTAGAGAGTTAAGAAAAAATCAAAACACAGCATTCTATTTTCAAAATGAGATCAATATTCTAAAAATGAATAGGGATAACCCATCTCTAAGCAGTAAGTGCCAAAGGAGACTGCCAATCATAATACCCCTTCCTGGACCTTACCCCCATGCCACCGACACTAATCCTGGACAGCTAGGGTCGTCACCAGAGAATTTTAGGTTAAAACTAATTTGCAATTAGAACTAAGAGGAACCCTCTCTTCACTGCCAATGAAGCTGGGAACATGAGGCCTTTGGGTTTGACAGCGCTATTGGTTCTTTCCTCCTGGGAAAACCAGTATAAGTCACCAAGGATGACATGTAGAAAAAAGGAAAGTTGAGACATGGGAAAAGAGGGTCTGGCCACCATCAGGCACAGAGTTTTAGCTTCCCAAGACCAGAACATCCCTTTCCCTCCAAGGCTAGTGACATGAGACAATAAAGTCTCCTTTGGTGTCAGAAAATTTGATTTGGGTTCCATTACTTACAAACGCCAAGGTTCCAGCTAAAATACTCTACCATTTACTTGACATTTTACTGCTCTTATCAATTTTTAAAATATAAATGCCTCATTTACTCAGGGAGAAAATAACTTTCTTGACTATGGTAGCTCTGTCCTGGGCCTCTTCCTCCCGCATACCTATTCCAGTGTTGAGCACATGGTAAGTGCTTTAAAAAATGTATTAGTTGATGACTATTAAGAAGCAGATGTAGAGTATTAGGAAGAAGAATAGTCAATGGCAGGTGGGAATCGTGTTAAAATAGTGCCTCTTTGTTCTGAACTTACGATCCAGCTGACCAGACTACATGAGACCCAGGTATTCGATCTGGGAATTTTCCCATATGGTGTAATTTCTTTGAAAGGATGGAAATTGCTTTCCAGCTGTATATTCACTTGGCATTCCCAGTTATATTTTCACTCCCATGAGGATTTCCAGTACAGTATGTCTTTTCCTAGGTGTTAGTTATTTCTCCTTCCCTCTCCACTCACTCTACTCAGTCTACTGCAATAGCAAATCCAAACATATTTCCTAAAGGGTGTCCGAATGGCTCTCAAAGCTGAGTGCTTATCAGAGGGAATAGTTTACTTCACCTGAGCAGTTAAGTTCTTTGATAAAAGTATACTATGTCCCTCCCCCCCACTGGGTCAAAGTCACTGCTACCTGAGCCCCTGTTCCACCCAGGCTTTCTGGTGCATTGGGACAAACACATGGGAAACTGGTTCCACAAGCAGATGCAGACAGATGTGGAGACTCACACGCAGCCAAACCATCTGGGAATTTTCACACATTATGCACTTTATTGGAAATCCTGGAGGCTCTTTTTTCCTTCTATATATTGCTTGGCTTCCCTTTGCTGCTCACAAAAAGAACTGACATATTTATCTGTAAATATAACACATTTTATTACTGAATCTCGCAATTAGACAGGATGTTGAGAAAGAATTTAATTTGATTTCTGAGTGGAAACCAAGGTTAGATTTCTTTGAAAGGATGAAACCCAGTAGGTGATCATCCTAAATATGGAAGCCTGCGCAGATGGAAATTCCCAAGATGCCCAGGAGCCCTGCCTTTGCACAACCTCCAGCAGCAATATCATCTGGAAAGGTGAAAAGTTTAAAAGGTCATTAAAAATATATTACAAGGAAACAAATCAAGGATTTTTGTAAACATCTTAAGTACTTATAACTTCATAATACTCAAGATTTTAGCTATTCTGGCATAGCAAAGAATAATACCATATTCACTTAAATAAGATTGACAATTCCTGGAAGTATTGATCAGCTCAGACCTAATTGATGCTGTAAATTCTGTGTTGGCAGCATACTTTGTGCCTTAAAAGTGCTAATGGGTATTGAAATTTTTTTTTTCTAGGCAGTAAAAAAGTAGTAAATGCTACTCCTTTTCTTTTTATCTACCTTCGGCTACTCTGGGAATTTCTTCTGTGTTCTCATGTGCTGGCTCTGGTACTTTACTGCATTTAGAAACTGTACACAACTCAGTAATGATTGCAGTGCCCTGTGTTACCCGGATGATACAGGGCTTTCATTCCTTTGCCTGCTGTTTCCTGGATCAATTCTATTCTAGATTCTGAGGACATTTCTTAATGCTTTCCTTCATCTCCAAAAGACGCTATTTTGAGGGCCCAGAGACTTTCTTCTACTTGAAATTCTTACATTTGAAAAAAGAGGGCCCATAGTTATCCTGTGACACCCAGGAATCCTTTCCTATCCCAACCTTTGCGTTCACTTGTCAGCTTTTCCATTTGAAGGTACATTCCATGGAGACAGACCTTTCACCATCTCTGTGTCTATGACATTTAGTGCAATTTCCACACACACAGTAAGCACTTGATTTCTGAAGTAAACTGAGTCAGGTCACCTTTCCATTTATTTGCATTTCACACAGCACCTAGCAGAGGGCCTGGCACAGAGGAGCTTTCTAAAACGGTCTGGTGAATGAACAATTCCTTGGTACTCACCTGTCTTTTCAACCACTTCCCCCTTATACAAGGGGATGTGTTTGCAGAGTTGCTCAATGGGTGACCCAAACAGGAACCAGTCCACATTCGTGATCAGAGACTGCAGAGGGTTGTACTTGACCCAGGTGTATTTGTTGGAGGACATGACGTTTATAGTCTATACCAGAGAAGGAAGCATAAAACAAACTGGCAACTTTGGTGCATCTTATTCTTATTTTCTCTTTCAAATTATTATTATTATTATTATTATTATTATTTTCTATACTGATGATTTCACTCAGGGCTTCAAGCATACTAGGCAAGAACTCTTCTACTGAACTACATCCCCAAATCTTTCTTTCTTTCTCTCATTCTTTCTTTCTGACAGGATCTCACTAAGTTGCTTAGGCAGGCTTCGAACTTGCCATTCTCCTGCCTTAGCCTCCCCAGTAGCTGGAATTACAGCATGTGCCACCTCACCTGGCTCTCTTTCAAATTATCAAACACAAGGTCATCAGGGATCTCAAGGCATCCTCTCTTTCTGACCACTCTGTCTGCAGAGAAACCTCACTATTACTAGTGCTACTTTGAAGTTGTGGTGGGTGGCTAAGCCCCAGGTATGAAGCATCAGTGCAGGGTTGTATGTTCTCACTGTATCCGATTGTTTCTTTGCATCTTTTATATCATCAAATATACAACTTTACTCATTGTTCTGCCAGTCTCTATTTCATAGAGCCTGGCTCTAAGAAGACAGTCTGATCAATCATCTCTACAAAGACACTGAAATTTTATATAAGTTTATAAAATTAACTTATATAAGTTATATTAACTTATATAAGTTTATAAAATTAACTTATATAACTTTATATAAGTTTTATATAAGTTTATGAGTTTAGGGCCTTATGCTGGAAATTGAGCTGAGATGTACCTCAGAGCTCAAAGAAAGAAAGAAATACAGTTAAAACATTTTGATAAGTTGAGTACCACATCATGGGAAGGTACAATATTTTAATCTTCTCTCTCACTCTTCATTTCTCCATGGCTCAGAAACAGAGCATTTTTAAGGGTATCCTAAAATTACCTTCATCTCATAGAGGTACCGTTCCAGTTTGTCCAGAGCAGGGATAGCTGAATGGTCCATCTTTAGGACGTAGCAGGCTCTTCGGGAGAGCACCCTGGATGCGATGTAGCCCTGAGGCAACAAGAACAGAGTTACTGCCCCTCCTTAATTGCCTGGTTTCTAAGCATCTAAAATGATGTCTACGCCTTGGAGGAAAAACCTGAGCATGCACAGGGAGCCCCTACCCTTGTTTTTAAATCTGTAATCAGTTCTGTGCACTCAACTTTTATAAAATTTCACTTTCATTTCTTATTTGTCATTCCCATCCCTTTGAAATTGTGCACACCCATGATGTAGGCCTACTCTTTCATATTATGGGATCGGGATCTGCAGTTTGGAGTTTGAAAGATTGAGACGCAGCAATCTTGTGTTTTTTGATAGGTTTTATGTTGCTTTTCCCCCACTTTGGAATAAAATACAACATTCTTCAGAATTGTGGTGTTCAGTATTGTAGTTGCTAGTCACATATGGTTATTTAAAATCAAATTAGATAAAATTTTAAATGTGCTTCCTCCATCACATATTTTGAGTGTTCAATCACAACAAGTGGCTGGATAGAGGCTTCCTTACAGGAAAATGCAGATATAGGACATTTCCACCATTACAGAAAGTGGGTTCTGTCAGACAACGGTGCTTTAGAGCTCTCTAAGTGTATCTACCCCTACCCTCACACCTGCACACATGCTTCACCATCTTCTTCCCTTCTTTTTTCTCCATCCTGTCTCCACTTCAAATCCAAATTGGCTGAAGGGGAATTAGTTTGAGAAAGTTGGGATGTGAAGAACCTTGGAACATGGGGACCGTGGAGCCAAAAAGCACCTAAGCCATTGAATTTTCATCTTGAGTGAAACTTTTCTCTACACAGTTTTAAATAATCATACACTCCATAAGGTTGTATCTAATAGGAAGTCTCATAGTTCCTATTTTTCAATTCTAACAAATTTCTAACTTTTAAAACTCAAAAATATGCTGAAGGCAAGGCTGAGGACAGTGTAAGGGGCTCACCACTCTAGTTTCTTATACATTTGGGGGATTTCTATGACATTTGCTTTGTAAGAATTTTAGAACCACTTCCTTTTAAAGTGTATCTTGCAAAGACTCCATACTTTCAAATGTGCCATGGCACTCTCAACACAAGGGGGAAGTAAGGAAGCATGTGAGGAGGTTTCTAGAAGAAATGGAGAAAAAAAAATCCTGTTTAAATGACCAGTGAGATTAGCTACAACCTACTTATATCTATTGTGCACATCTCTGTACTCAGGTAAAAAAAAAAGGGCCATCACTAGTGTTGGTATAACAAATAGATAAATGGATAAAGGACAGAATAAGTTTTCTGAGCAGTTTTCTGAGATGTATTTTTAATGCTAGTAACTAAAACTTGGAAGTACCTTCTTATAAAAATGTGACATTACTTATGCTATATACATAATTAAATGGTATAAAGTTGCTCTAATTTTCTGCTATGGTGTGATTGCCTTGTGGTTGTTCTTTTTCTACATGGTGTTTTGCATTAGGAGCTCTGATTTATTTGTTTATCCCTTCAACAAGTATTTTGAGAGTCTTCTGTGCTGGGCTTTGCTTTGGTCACTCTTACGCTATGCCCACTTTCTGAGCCTGTAATGAACAGCACATGGCTCTTCCACTTTCTGCCTTAAAAGGTCATGACGATGCAAATGATTTCTATCATATTGTTTTTCTCAGAAATGATTCCAATTGCTTCTTTGTTAATAAATTGCTAGATTATTTCAAGGGAAAAGCAGAGGTGAGGAAATTTATAAGGAACTGCAGAGACAAACCCTGGAATGTAAATACACAGTAAGCAGCTGTCCCTCTGCCCCTTAGAAAACCAGTGTTGAAGAAAACAAAAATCCTCTTGCTGCTTACATGTTTATAGTCAAAAATCGTGGTGGAAGAACATGATCCAGCATGGATGTCAACGGTAGCAGTATTTTTTTCATTGTCAATTGTCACTGTTTCCTGAACATTGCCACCATTGTTGCCTGGGCTGAAGACGTTATAAACCTAGAATTGACAACAAAGATATTATGGGTTTTCCATAAATCACATGCATTTGAAAGGCAGGTCTCTCAGCAAAATAAAGCTTTCTAATTACTGCGAGCAAGTCATTAAAGGCTAAAACTTCTTCCTTGGAATCCTAGTCCAAAGCCCAGGCTAAGATAAGAATGCCAAGCTTTTCTTCAGTTTACTGCATCATAAAAAGGAGAAGAAATGATATCACAGGAGACTGACCACATTTTAAAGGAATGGGTTACATTGGTGAAGGCTTTGCAGTTAGAAATGATCACCCCATTATTTTCCTTATTGGTTATTTCTGGGATTCCATCTCAGGGCACATGGACTCTCCACTGTCCTTCAGATTCTCTTTTATCTTCCTTTTCACCTCCCAACATTTCTAAGGAAACAGTTTACCTCATATCCATGCGACTGTGTCCCAAAGATGGCCAGCACCATCAGAAATGCCACCTGAAAAAACAGAGCAGTCACATCCATTCCTTGTCGGGTAGTCACTGAGGGTGGGAACCAGAGGGGTAGACCCGGACACCTAGAGACACTGGTAAGTGGTCAAAAAGTGGAAAGCAGTCCACTTCCAAAGTGGAAAATACACACATTCACACACTCAACAGGCATTTGTTGAGTTTATGACATTTATAAGACACAAGGCCCCTTGCCACTTTGTTCTCAACTTTATCACCCTCTAGATAGAAGAAAAAACTGGGGGCTGGTGAATAGAATGGAAGACCTTATTTTCCTATGAGTATATTCCAAAATAATTCATACTGGCTTTGGATTACTTGTGAACGATGATGTCCTCTGGTTAAAAAAGAAAAGAAGATCTTTAATCCCTTGAGACTGAGAGAGTGAAATAGACTTAAAATAGATTCATGAATGATAAAAACACAATGGATTTCTAAGAGAAACTATGAAACCAGGATGCTTAAAAATACAGTTAACATTTGAGGCTGGCATCAAGGAAAATCTCTATATCCTGCTAACCCATGGCCTTGTGGTTTTATCAGGTGAGTGCTGGGCCAGCACACTGCAAGCCTGACATGGAGGCAGATCTGATATTTTGCAGACATGCTGACCAATCCAACATGCTGACATTAATGTCGTGCTCTCTCTGCAGGGCATCTTAGTGCACTACACTATCATTGAAAGGAGAAGATCTGTGGGAAGGGCAGATACTTTTAAGAACTGTCAGTGGGACTTTTTACGTCCTTTTTCATTTCACTCCTAACGTTTGTCATTGGGGTTGCAGCAGCTAACTAAGATGCGCTGCAAATATCCAATGTGCCCACTTATACAGAGGCTCACCTTCTCTACCCCAAGCCTGCTCTATCAACCTGTGATGCTCCATTCTATTTAGTTGATTTAGAATAGAGATTTGAATAAGATGATGAACAGCCCACTTTACTAATATGATTAGAAGGCGCTCAGGGAGGGTCCTCTGCCCCCAAATAATCTCCCACGCAATACCATCATTAATACACCCTGGTTATAAAATTTTCCTCTTAGAAAATCAAGCAAGCCCTGGGAGAGGAACTCTTCAAACTCACAGCTTTTATGGCTTAACACTTTGCTTTCTCCCTTAGCAACTGAATGAGAATAAGAGACAGAGGCTAGAGGAAGGAACCCCCTTCTGAATCAGTGTGGCACTATGGAGACTGGGATCAGATGGAAGAGTGGGGTCACTCAAGGAAGGAATGCTTTGCCTTAAGGGAGAGTTTAGATGAGTAGACGTGTTGACACTCAGCTGCTTATATTGTGCCTGGCTGCTCCTATAAGCAAGACTTAACCTGGATAAATTACATCCTAAATCCCTCATTCACAGGCTTGAAAAATTTGCACTCTTCTATGTCTCCTGATCTAGAAAATGAGGATAATACTATCTAGCTTACAGGGTTGAAGCAATGAATAGATGGAATTATTCCTGTGAAAGATTAGCCTACAATTTAATATGCATTTGAAATTCTAGATGTGGTTTAATACCATAGCTGCTATTATTACTATTACTGGCATTTTTTAAAATTACCACTTCTCTTTTTTTTAAATAGTAAATGTAATTTCTCTAAAATGCCTACCTTACTACAACGCTTGAGATAAGGGATTAATATTAAACATCTTCCAAATTAAAATTACCTACATATATCCAATTTTTTCTTTTCTTTTTAAGTAAACATCACCAAAAAAAAAAAGAGAGAGAGAGAGAGAGAAAGAAAAAAGACAAGGGACACACAAATATTCAACTTAAAACTCAGCACTATTTCTGCCAAAGACATTATGAATTCAATAACAGAAGCTTAGAAGCATGAACAGAGTCTAAGACCCCTGAAATCTTTGACATATTGCACATGAACATTCTCTGCAAGCAGCCCATCACAAGGGTATCAAGAAGTATAAATAATACTCACAAGAATTTTCATTTTGCCTGTCGGGAAGAAGGTGCTGGAGCAAGTAAAGCTGCCTGGTATAGCTTCTACCCTTTATATTGGTTTTAAGATGTGGAAATCTCTTTTCCAAATGATCACATCTGCACAGATCATGTCCATATCTTTGACACACCCCAGCAAACTGCTTTATCAGGTTCAAGCACCAACCACACACCTGATATCAATGAATCTCATTAGTCAACAATGAAAATTCACCACTTGGTCACTCTGCAAATATTTCCTGCTTATCTGTTTTATGCTGTGCTTGAGATTTCAATTTCCACCCTTTAAAAATATTTCAGGATGCTTTTTCTATGCATAGACACATATGGACATATTCTTAAAATCTCCTCCTGGAGGTAAAGTCCTTTTGTAAGTCCTGAGTTGGGTCCCCACTAAACCTTCTCATCACCGTCCTGCTTTTTAAATTCATCCACCTCAGGAAAGGGCATGAAACTAGAGGCAAGGGCAGTGGCTGGGAGCCCTGCTTAGAGAATGAACAGTCCTAAGACTTTTTTTTCTGTTTCCCTTTCATTTGGTGGTAATTTCCAGAGCTTCATGATAAACAAGGATCAGAAAACACTCTGCCCTATGACAAGGCCTAGCCAAATGCTTACATTGAACCTTGTCTACAATGCCATGAGAACTATGAGATATAATGCATTTCCAAGTTATCTTGGGAGGCACTGAGAAGTTCTCAGATTTTTTAAAAGAGAGAATACATTTTAATTCATATAACTGTTAATACCTCAATTAGAAATAAATGTTAAATTATCATTAGCATAAGACATGAATTTATAAGGTAAGGAAATTTATAAAAAAGACACCATGGTGGAGATTTACCTAAATCCCCACCATGATGTCTTTTTAAAAAATTTAAAAATGGTAAAGCATTTGTCTAACATGTGTGAGGCCCAGGTTTTGATCTCTAGCTGTGTGTGTGTGTGTATGTAAAATAATTATATATATAATTATTATTATATAAAATTACTGTATGTAGTAATTTTGCAACTTATACATGTTCGTATATATAGGTATATATATAAATTATAAAATATTGAGAAGCATCACCAAATGTAAAAGGATTCCATGAACAATGTTCTTGCTCTGCAGCTGGAACAACTTCCTAATTAGCAGCTTTTAAAAATAATGGATATTTTACAAAGTGGATATTTGGGCAGTTGGGGGGGTCACCTAGTTCACTGGAATTCCCCTACCCTGGCTGTTCAGCTCTGGCAGATGCAAAATGTGCAGGTCTATTTAATTTTTCTGAGATCCTAGTCCCAAAAGTGATTGCAATTTTGTAATATATTTGCAAATTTTCTCCCATATCTGGCTCCATAGACTCCAAAAAAGCAAGCAGACAAGGCCTCTAGACATCAGTGCTGATGGAAATATTACACCCTACCCTCCACTTTGTCTCCTGGAGGGGTGCATCTTCCCTGTGTTCCCTTCCCTCTGTTCGCTTGCACTGGCTCTCTCTCCCATGCTCCGCGCCCCCAACTCCTGGCTTCCATGAGTGGAGCATAAACACCCTTCTGCCATGATGTTCTGCCTCACCTTGGTCCAGAGCAATAGACTCAAATCACCATGGACTGAAAATGAACTTTTCCTCCCCTAAGTTGTAATTGTTGGGTATTTTCATCACAGAGACACAAAACCTGACTAATATATAAGTAACTCCCCAGAGTCACACAACTTGTAAGGGCAGGAGTGCAAAGTTGAGCCCAGGTCGGCAGCATTGTCCACCCTCTTAACTACAAGAACCATATGTCCTCTGGGATTATTTGCTGGGTTAAGTGTAACTGCTTACCCTGCGGTGATAGGAGCATTAGCAAGAAGGCTTCTGTTTCCAGAATGCTACTGAGATGGAGACTTGGAAATCCTCAGTACAACCCACAACTCAAAAATGAAAACAGGGGGAATGAGAAGCTGTATTTGTAAAAGTTTCTATGAATGAAATTCATGTCTCAGCTGCCCAGCTCCCCACTGAGGTGGTAAAATCACTGCTACAGAAGGGGTGTTGGGTGTGTCCACACTTTGGGTCTCTGATGCAATAAGTCTGAGAAGGGGTGCAGGCATGTAAGCTTCTAAAACTTACATGGGTTATTCTGATTGAAATAGATGTTTTTAGTCCCTCCTAAGCGCAAGGTTACCTAAGGAACTTGCCCAAGTCTGTATACAGTCAGTGACAAAAACAAGACTATTTCCCACACCTCTTTGATTTCAGTAATCCTTAGTAGGTAAATCACTGAAACCTTTGAAAAAAGAACTTCAGTGAATGAAAGGATTGATACTTATTTATCCACTCTACTCCTGGTCATTGCTTAGCTGAGCCCAACAGTATGGACACCAACACATTTGCAAGTGGTCACGTGCCCTGGACTGTATGCTTTGCTTGGGTCACAAGAGGTGTACAGTCAACTAACGCATTTCCCAAAAAAGTTGATCCAAATTACAGTGTGACACCTGGTTCACTAGATCTTCCCAAGACTTGGCATTTTCAGATTTTTAAATTTTTGATGAGTATCAAGTGATATCCATTGTCGTGCTAATTTGTACCAACCCCACCTGATACTATTAATATTGAGTTAATAGTATCTTTCTCATAAATTTGTCCATTCCAGGTTCCTCATCTATAATTTACTGGTCATTTTTTCTAATTTATGTGCATTTGTAATTGCTACATAGAATTTTTTTTATATTCAGAATACATATTCTGGAATAGATAATCTTCTCCTGGTGTATAGCTCGTCATGTACCAACCTTGTTTATGATGTGATTTGTTTTACAGAAGTTTTGAATTTCAGTGTCAAAATGAGAAATATTTCCTTCAACAATTTGTGTTTGGAGTCCTGCTTAAGAAATGTTTCTAATGTCTTTAATGTATTTTCCTGCATTTCCTTCAAGTCTTGTTTTTCACATTTAATTTTACTATTATATTTTAGTATAGTATTAGGTTTCAGCCCAATTTTTCCCCCCATTTGGATATCTGGTTATGCCAGCATCTCTTATTGAATAGCTTAGCCTTTTTTATTTTTACTGACTTACAAAGTCATATAGTTTCCATGTATACACTAGCTGATCATTGTCTCTCTATTTCATTGGTATATTTATTTATGCAAAAAAACACTGAATACCAGTATTAATTTTACTGTCTCAGGCTGAGGTTGTGGCTTAGCCATAGAGTGCTCGCCTAGCACTTGCGAGGCCCTGAGTTCAATCCTCAGCACCACATAAAAATAAATACATTGTGTCCAACTATAACTAAAAAATAAATATAAAAAATTTCACTGTCTCCATAAGTAAGTTCTGATATATGGCAGATCCAATCTCCCAGCCTTGCTGTTTTTCCTAATTGTCATGGCTATTCTCATGAGTTTTCTTTATCGTGCATTCTCCTTGTCATTGATTTCTATTCGACTAACCTCAAAATCACTGTTATTTTTCTAACTTTTTGAGTTGGGTACCATCCATTTAAGTTCAATATCTCTTGCCGTGTTTTAAAGAAAATATTCAAAAATATGTGTTTACCTCTAAGTACATTTCATTTGCATGCCTCACCTATTTCATCAGGGTTTCTGTTTGGTTTGGTTTGGTTTAGTTTTGGTTTTGGTATCAGGGATGCTGAACCACTGAGCCACATCCCCAGCCCTTTTTATTTTGAGACAGGGTCTCACTAAGTTACTTATGGTTTCATCAAGTTGATGAGGCTGGCTTTGAACTCTTGATCCTTCTGCCTCAGACTCCAGAGCCACTGGGATTACAGGCATTCACCACCATGCCTGGCCTACATCAGTTCTTAATATTTCTTAGTTTCACTCCTTAACCCAACAGTTGTCAGGGATACTTTTCAGTCTCTGGAGTTAAGGAATTTTCATATCTCTCTCTCTAACTTTCTCTCTTTTTTTTTTTCTCTCTCTCTCTCTTTCTTCCCCTCCTTCTTTTGCATAATTTGTAGACATTCTATTGACATCAGATTCACCTTTTTAGGTCAGGAGCCATTTTATCTAGAGGTTCCAAAGTTTCAATTCTGAGGCAAAGCTGCTTAACTTCCCTAAGAACATGGGCCTGCTCTCAACCCCACCCCAGCTTATACTCCTAAGCAGCTTATGAGATTCCTCTTGTGAGTGCCGATAGGCTGCTGCCCTCCTTGGAGGGACAACCTTGTTGGTATGCTTCATGTTACCAACAATAAATCTCTTGTGTGGGATTTCAGTGTGTGGTGTGATGTTTGGACTTTGCATGGACTCTGCAAGTGTCCTTTCACATTCCACACATATTTGAAATAAATGTATATCAAATGTGTGTTTTCTGTCTGGTGATTACATTTGAAATGGATTTTAAAATTAGATCAAACTTTTTAATTTTATTTTCCTTTTTTTTTAAGTGCTGGGGATGGAACCCAGGGCCTTGTGCATGCAAGGCAAGCACTCTACCAACTGAGCTATATCCCCAGCCCTTATTTTCCAACTATTAACATTATTCCCAATTTTGGATCCACCTGATGTAACTAATTCTACTAGAGCTGCATCAAAAATTATCTTTATGATTATGATTTTGTCTGATTCTGTGTAAGTTCATCTTAGCATGTTGTCCTTAAGATCAAGGTCTTTCATTTTCATTTTATGTAGTATGTTCCACTTTGCCTCTGTTTATGGCTTTGTTTTGCTTTGTTTTGTGTTCCTGGTTAGTTTGCTTTCTTTGATATTCTTTGGCTGGAACAGTTCTTTGGTCCTTTTATTTTCCACTTTTCTATGTGGTATTGCTTTAGATGTTTCTCTTGCATTTAGCATTTTACCAGTCTGACTCTTTCAATTTATGAATATCATTTTTTTCTTCATTGTGATTACTAACATATTTTGGACTTTTTTCTACTCTCTTGCTGTATTGTGTACTTACTGCTTTTTCTTTGCATTCTCTCCCATTTTTCTGCCTTCATTTATAAATACTTTTTTCTTTCTTTTCCCTGTCATTATGATTTAATTTTATTACTTATTACATTGAAACCTTAATATGCA